TGTTTAATAAAAAACTGAAAGATAGACATCTTAAAATTCAAAATCAAGGAAATATTGAGAATGGAATTGACCTTTTGCTTCTTGATGAGTTACAATCTGATGATGAATGGGTTACTCCTAAGAATGCGGATGTTTTTGAAGTTGAAGCAGAAGGAGAAACTCATGTCAATGAAGAAGACAATAAAGCAACTACCCAAGTATATAAAAGAAAGAAACAAAGTGAGATTGAAGCTTCAAAAAAATTCAAAGGTATTCTTAAATATAATGAATTATTTTGTATGTTACTATTGTTTCATTTTAGAGCTAATGAAATATTAATTGATATAGGAGATAAAGAAAAAAATATTATAGATGAAGAAGAGTTTGAGGATGATTTTGACATTAATTATGAAGATTCTGAAGACAATCAAAGTGATGATGAGCCTGCTTTGGGTCTTGATCCCAAGGGGATGTTTTATTTTTAAGTGAGTTTATTTTAAATCTTGTATTCCAGTAATATTATCTTGAAACAAATCTTCAAATTCATAGTTGACAAAATATTTTGTTATTTTTTGTCATTATTTATAGTTTTAAATTAATTTATTTTATTCATTTTGAGGCTTACGCATCGATCCGCCTCGAGGCTTACGCCTCGCCTCGCTTAGAAAAAACACCTCGATTCCCGATTTCGCCTTTTAAAACCTTGACAAGGATAAGGTGTTCCTTAGCCATATTTGGAGAGAGCCATTTAAAATGTAAGGAGCAATTTTGAAAAGGAGTATTGCCTACCACCCACAGACGAATAGCCAAATAGAAATAGTCAACAAGAGCTTGGAGACCTACCTCAAATGATGTGTCAGAAACACCCAAACTACAGGCCAAATGGTTATCATGGGCAGAGTATTGGTACAACACCTATCATTAGTCTTCTCAGATGACCCCATTCAAGGTGTTGTACATAAGTGATCTACCTCACTTGGTGTACTTTGGATGTAGCAGTACTCCAGTCTCTTTAGTGGATGAGTACCTGTAAGAAAGGGGGACAGGGTATTGGAAGAATTAAAAAGGCATCTGCTAAGAGCTCAACAAATCATGAAGAAACAGACCGACGAGCATAGAAGAGACATTCAGTTTGAGGTAGGCGAAAGGATGTGTTTGAAACTCAGACCGTATTGGCAGAAATCCATCGCCAACAGGAAAAATAAGAAGCTTGCCACTAGATACTTTGGGCCATATGAAGTCTTGGAGAAGATTGGAACAGTGGCATGTCGCCTGAAGCGACCAGCAACAACAACTATACACCCTGTCTTTAATGTATCCCAGTTGAGGAGGGCAATTGGAGATTATACAACCACATCGGAGTTACCAAGGACACTCACGGAGGAGGTAGAGGTGATCTTAGAACCCATAGAACTATTGGGGGTTGGCTAGAGAGAGGGGGGAGCTAAAGAAGTGCTGATCAAGTGGAAAAGCCTTCCAGATTACGATGCCACGTGGGAGCCGTACGAGAGGATGAAACATCAATTTCCTAGCTTTCACCTTAAGGACAAGGTGGTTCTTTGGGAGCGAGGAAGTGTTACGGAACTAACCAGACTGGCCCAGGAGGGGTTGGTCCAATTTTACAGGAGGCGGATAAGCAGCCTCCTTAATGTGTTTCAGCCAACAGGTGGGGCCCCCTTGAGGCGGCAACAGAAGAGAGAGAAAAGGGGGGCGGCTAGTGCATAAGGATAATTTTTTAAATTGTTTTTATGTTAGGAAGTTTTTTATTACGAAGATTTATATTTAAGGATGAGAAGAGGCTAGGGTTAGGGCATGCAAAATTTTAGATTTCTCTTGGAGTCTCTTTGGCGTCTTGGGCTCTAGGCTTCTTGTTTAGAGATTGGGAGAGGACGATCCTCCTTTCGAATTGAGGATCAATTGTTTCTTTGCTTCGTTCTTATTTAGCTTTGCTTTCTATAAGACTATCTATCATTTGTTTGTTTTTTCCATCATATTTTCTTCTATTTTCTCGTTGTTTTACCGATTATTGTTAGGTTTGCTTACGAACTCAAGTATTTCCCATCAAGATTATTTGCGAACTCAAGTATTTCCTATCAAAAACAGCATCAAATAAATGGTTGAACATTTTGACACAATCATGTCTTAGTATTAAAAGCTGTGATTTTAAGAACCATAAACTACAATTCCATTGTGCTGTAAAAGGTGTGTAGGGCATTGAGATGTTGTTAGTAGAAGTCAATTATACTTTAGAGCTAACAAATTTTATCTTGAAACAGAGAGACAAATGAGAATGTTAACCCAAGAAATGAGAAGCATCAAAATCCTCAACAATATTAACAAAAGACTTTATTCATTAATCATCAAGAACAACACCACAACTATAAAAATCTCTAGAATCTTGAATATCTCCATGCATATTATTAGATTGATCAAACTTTCCTAAGATATTAATTTAATGAAATGATGACTCCCATGAGGACAATCATAATAAGTAGTTGATCTTTGCTTGCACATTGTCCAATTAATGCATGAATGGTAGGATTGTGGGAGTTCAACAATAACACGTGATCACTTCGGGTGATGGTGTGGAATTATAGCAATTGCAATAAGTGAAGTTGTAGGTAGGGAGGGGGTGTCAGGGTTAATGAGGCAAGCAATTAGCAAATACGCAAATTATATGATCAACATGTGACTTACAGTTGTGTGGCAATGCAAGTGAGCAAACAATATAGATGCATACAATGTAAACTTGAGTTACGCTAGATGTCGGCAGTTGCAGGATAGGCGTAAAACACGAGTAGGTGAGAAAGAGGGCAATGCTTCGATGTATGAAAAGCGTGAGAAGAATTAATGATAGCATAAGAATCCGATGAAACTATAGAAGGAAGCTGAGAATCTTGCAATAAACATGACAACAAGAAAAGGATTTTAGGTTTAAGATATAAAGCAAAAGTAAGAGCAAGGACGTATGAGCTTCACAACACAAATAAATGCAATTACCAATGTGAGGTGCATAAGCTAGAAATCGGGAGGATTTGGCAATTGAAGTAATGGCAAGGAAAATGTGAAGTCTATAGATAAGCCAATCACACTAAGTCTAGATTATACAAATATCTAGATCAAAGATGTAAATGTTCTTGAGGTTTTAAATATAGATAGGAGGAAAGAATTTCATTTTTCTTCATCATATTAATAAATAATGACGCAAGATATTAGTAAATAGTTAAATTATGTGATCTAAAGGTGACTTAGGGTTGTGTGGCAATGCATGTGAGCAAGATGTATGGATGCAGACGAGGTAACATGAGTAACACAAGATGGAGAAAGCTGGGAGACAAGCATAAATCATGAGCAGGTGATAAAAAGGGGCAATGCCATGAGTGTATGAAAAGAGTAAGAAGAATTAATGATAACATTAGAATCCGATGAAACTACAGAAGGAAGTTGTGAATCTTGCAATAAACTTGACAACAAGCAAAAGACTTTGAAAGTTCTAAAGCGAAAGTGAGATCAAGGACATATGAGATATGCACGTCACAGAAATGCAATTAGGTTGAAAGATAATGCGAGGTGCATGAACCAGACTTTGGGAGGATTTAGCAATTGCAAACAGAACTAATGGCAAGGAAAATGTGAAGTCCGTAGATGAGCCAATCACATAAAGTTACAGTATAAAAATATCTACATGGAAGATATAAATGTTCTTGAGGCGGAAGAAAGAGAAATAGGAGGAATGAATTTTATTTGTTTTTATCATATTTAATACTTTTGGCATCAAATCTCTCAAATTTAATGACAATTATGTAAATACAAATAGGCCCATTCATAAGAAGGGAGAAGATGGGATGATGGTATCAATGAAGGGCAAGGCATTGCTAAAAGAAGAAAAATTGATCAACACTACCCACAATTAAAAGATCGAGCTTGGCTTTGCATTCAGTAAACGAGACATAATCACAGCCTCTATTGAATTCAGAGGGACAAAGTAGGCCGTTTGTATAGGAGATGACCATAGAGAATTCTTTAAAACTTTAACTCTTATATATGAAACTCATAATGAAGGAGGTGGTTGATAAAGATTGCAAAGTATTTTTATGTTTAAGAAGAGGAATGAGAAGAATTCGGCATGAGGAAGAACTTGGGAGAACCAAATATTTGGATTGAAGAAATTAGACAAAGAAAAAACTCAAAAGATGAGAGGAAAGATGTAGAGAGAAAGTAAGCATGAAAAAACCATGTTAGGAGAATCAAGGAGAATCAACAAGGAAAATAAATGCCAAACAAAAAGTCATTTTATATTTCATTATAAACTAATTGAATTATAAGAATATAGTTACTTTATAATAATAGGCCTTATTAAACAATTACAAATAACCCCAACACATAAAAAAAAAAGAGAGAGGATCAAAATGGCCCCTTGATTATGTATGAAAGAATAAAATAATACCCAACTATATTAAAAGATCATTTTGGCCACTCAACTCCATAAAAAGAGGAACTAAAATAATCCCACCATAGGAATATTTTAATTCCTTTTTAAATACATAATGGATCAAAATAATCCTTTAATATACTTGGAGACTGATTTGGTCATTCATAAAAAGTCAATAGATTATTTTGATCATTTTATCTTTTAAAAAATGCCAAACTATTCATAATTGACAAATGGACATTTCACACTTCAAACCAAATGACAAATAAAGGAAAAAAATATAAAATATATAAAAATCATAGATAAAACTAAACATAAATAACTAAAATTTTAAGTATCCAGCATTGCACCAAAAGGTTAAGAGGATAACAACACTGTATAATAACATAAATTAAATAAACAAATGCAGTATGACTGAATTTATAATGAGTATTTTTGCAGTAAGAGGCCATTTGGGAAATGATGGCTACAAATAAGAGGATGCAGTATCTTAGTAGGTACAGCTCGCATTAGACGAAAAAAGAACAGAAAATGTACATGAACTGCATTCATTGCAGATTATAATTAGACATCAGCTATAGAATCATACCACAAGACACCTCCATTTTGAGCCTGGCCACTGGACAGGATCCAAGTCACTAACGGCAGTTATCAATCCTGTGCACCTAGAAAGAGTAAGGGAGCGAATCAGTATTTTATTATTCAATCCATCAGCTCACAAGTCCCCTAAAGCAATCTCCAAACCTTCTCTCTGCTGCATCTTCACTTTCAAAATGCATTTTGAACCTGGTCCCAACAGAAATTGAATAACTGCAGCTTTTCCTAAATTTCCAATAAGGTATAATGAACTCTGATTGGTTAACCCTAAAGAAATCAAACAAAAGCATTTTAATAAGCATCAATTTACAGCAAAAAGCCAACTCAGATGAAGGTGCTGTCATGGACTAAGATATATTTAAGAGCATACAATATCCAGGCCCATAAATGCACAACAATAATGGAATTTCACCTAGCAACTGTGCTGGAAAACAAGTATGTTAAAATTGGCATAGACAAGCCCGAGTCATCAAAAGCACTTGCAAAACATCAGGAATCTACAAGCTCAATGATCACAGGGTATGCAGTCGGATGCATTGGAAAATATGCATGTTTGCATTTGCATATGTTAAATTAAGGTACTAGGGGAAGAGCTTATGCATGCAAGCAATAAGGGCTCGTCCACACTAGAATAACAAAGTTCTCATAGATAGATGAGTACAAAAGATGGTAATAATATAAATTTCACGAAAAAAGGCAGTATGCGGTTAATGATATACATTGATGCCCAATTCTTATAAGATAAACAAAAATCAGTTCCGTGCTATTGGTCATATTTACACGGTGATAATGACTTCAGTCAGTGAATTGAGATGAAAGTTCGACTAGAAGAACATACTTAAATACTATTTTTTGAAATTAGCACTTAGCTGACTTTAGTTCAAAAAAAGTCTTAAGCTTCACAAATAACCACTTCTTGCACTTTATTTATTTATATAAATTATCACAAATGAGTGATTGGACAAATAAAGTTTTAGTTAATATAACTATTCACAAGGAGCTAGTTTTCAGGCGTTGCTAGATACTCTTTGTACATAGTTGCATAATAGGGTGTTAAGCCTAGTTTATTTTAATATTTAAATAACTTATTATCATGACAGCTTTCCCCTACCCTTTTTATCCATTGCAAAGAACACCAGCTTCTAATTTTCTAGGTGCATCATTATATTACATCATTATATTTTCTTTGAACATTACAAAACCATATTATTCAAATCCTTCTAACTACTTCACAGGAATTAGAAATCAGATGCTACCAAGTAGTTGTGGAGTGGCCAATAAACTACTCACAGTAGGATTGCATTAAAGATTAGCATTAAGTTTGCATCACTTTACATGGATTATGGAGATATATTTTTTGATAAATGAGACCTCTTCTAAATTAATTGAAATGTTCAAAGGAATTTTTTAAAACATAATTACATTGTTAGAATAAAAACTAACTACCAAAAATACAAGATGGACCAGTTTGTTTACCGTCCATATCCGAAAGTGATTTAAACTCACTCCCGGAAGTTCAAGTTTTTATTTTTATTTTTTTGGTTGAAAGTCAATGGAATGGAGTTCTTGTCCTTAAAACGCAACTTAAATAAAGTGAAAAATGAGTTCAAATCATGAGGGCTAGGAAATCACCTTCACCTCCAGACTTTCTTTTTACTTTCAATAGCAATAAAATAATATTAGCATAATAGAATGATGGGTTATAATATTGTTTTTACTCAAAATTATCACGGTAAAAAAATTAATGTAAGGATAGGTGATAATGAAAGTCACTGTAGCCAAACATCAGATTTGAGTTTGGGCGAAATGAGTTACTGCAATGCGTATATTTTATATTTTATAAATAAGATAGGAAGCAATTTAATACAACAAGTGCAAGAATAAATATGAAAATCTCATGGGGAAGAAAACTATCTAACATAAATAATTAAATACTTCAACAAATAGACCTTCACAAAATGTTTCTAAGTCACAAATTTCATTGAGAATTGAATTATTGAAAGGGTGAAAAAAGCCAACACATCCAACATAAATAAATGCTATTCAACCTAATTCTTACATGCCCCAAAAATCCTTATATCTATAGACTGAACTCTTGTACTAAAGATAAGAATTTAGTTGGCCTAAAAATGTAATTAGGATATAAAAACAAACCCAACAGAATAATAGAAATTCGATTACAATCTTAGATACACAACTAAAATCCCATGGAAAAGAAGTCGAAGTATCCATACTATAGTCTAACCGAGGAAAAGTTTTAGACACATTATAGTCCTAGATAAAAGCATGTTCATCAGGTAAAGGAATTGCATGTATTTTAGTCCCTGGAATAACGAGTCCCAATAAAAACTAACATGAAATTTGCATCATTTTTGCCTAATTTGGAAAATTCGATAATGATGAATTGTTTATCTAATATTTTTTTAATGAATACTTTAGTTCAAGGACAAAGACCCATGAATAAAAAGATGGCCGAAGATATTCAACTCGAACATCTTCAAGCGGAGATTCATCCTCCTCCGCCAAGGAGGCATCTACAATCACACCAAGATAACGAACTTGCCGATACAACAAGTTCTACACATCCTTCGCCCACAACTCGACAACCTCGCATTCATTCAGATCTCCCATAAGACTTAGTCCAACCACTCGTTGCTGAGCTCCCTCGCAAAGCCCTACGTCATGAACTGCATAGCTTAGTACAGGAAGAGTTCCCCCGAGGAGATGTGAGGCAAACTCTTCGATAATGGAACTTCCATGAGTCGTCACCTTTAGCTGAAGTCATTCTTCAGCACCCCATTCTAGTTGGCTTCAAGTAGGGAAAGTTACCTACGAAAAACGGGGAGAAAGAAGAAAAAGGAGGGGAAATCTCCAACTTCTGTAGAAGAGGAGGGGTGCCGAGTCAAGTAGGGAAAGTCACCTACTGAAGGAAAGCCTCAACTATCAGAAAGTCAGAAGAAGGAGAGAAGAAGATGGGGGAGAAAGGAGACGAAATGCTACCAAAATTCTAACTTCTATATGAGAAGGACACAGATTTTGCGTAGAAAAATCACCTAAAAAAAATAATGAAATGCATCCACTGTTAGAAAGTTAGAACGAGAGAGGAGAAAAAAAATTTATTCTACATTGAAGAGGAGCGCTAAATTTGCGTAGGGAAAGTCACCTACAAAATATAGCAGAAAGCCTCTGGAGTAGGAAGAGAATGGGAAGTCTCCAACTTTTGTACAAGAAGAGAGGCGCTGAGTTTAGTAGGGAAAGTCACCTACTAAGAAACAGCGGAAATCCTCAACTGTCAGAAAGCCAGAAGGAGAGAAGAATGTGCAGATTTCTCCTTGGCCCTGGAGGCCTATTTATAGTGTTTTGGAAATGGGGGGAAGATTCCAGCATTTTCTTGATTTTATCAAAATTTTTAGGATTTTTTTTTGAAATTATTCGAATTTTTTACGATTAAAAAAAAATTAAGTCGGTGGAGGCAACAAATAGCCAGCCCGAACCGGCGCCTTGCATATGACGGGCGCGCGGCACCACGCGAGCCGGCCAAGCCGCAGGCACGGGTCTGTGGCGGGCCAAGCGAGCGCGGAGCTGGACAAGTAGGGCAGGCCAGGTTGGCCCCAGGCTTGCCTCAGGAGGGCCGCGATGCGGGCCGGCGGGCAGTTCCATGTCGCTGGTAGCGGCGGCGGCGGCCAGCCGGTTCGGCTGCCCAAACAATCCTGGATTCAATTTTTAACCCGAAAATACCAAATTGGACATTTTTTAGGTAACCCGGGATAATTTTTAAACGTTCCGGACTTACTTTCAACACTTTTAAAGCTATTTGGGGCTCCTATATGCAAAATTGGATTTCGAATCACATGGAAAATTCTCCAAAATTTGTTATGCATATTATCGGACTCATGGAACTTCGACGTCCGAAAATATGGGGGCAACTGATATATCATGCAAAAATTATCTTGATCGGGCACGAATCTTAAGGCAAAATCAAACCGCAAACTTCAAAAATTAAATTTGGGATCACTTGAACTCCGATTTCAGCAAACTTACTGTCAAACTGAGCATCTCAAAAATACAAACTCAACGGCACCAAATTCGACTCAATCCGAGCCCAAATGAGTCCAAATCAAGCACCCGAAGCACTGATGGAAAGTTCAAACCATAATTTGAGTTACCAAACGGTTTCCAAATATGATGTTCTTATAGACGAATCGAGCGGCCTGACGAGACGAATCGAGCGGCCTGACGAGACGAATTCCGACATCATTAAGACCTTCAAATGTCTGATGAACGGTGCATGATCAAGGGATTCAATATCGGCCATCCATCCGACCACTCCTTATTTACCCCTGATCTCTTACCTATTTACAAGCTATGTCACTCCATAATATCTATAAATAGACCACTCATTTCTCATGAAAAAGGACCCAAACAAGAAGTAGATAAGAGAAGGATAGGGGGGAATAACTCCTCGAACACCACCGGAGTTCTGCCCGACGCCCGAGTGATGCCGGAGTTCTTCCGGACGCACGAGTGACGTCAGAATTCTGCCCAAGGGACGCAGAAATTCTGCCTGACGCCAAATTAACGCTAGAATTCTGCCCGACGCCCAAGTGACGCCGGAATTCTGCCCGATTTCCAAGTGATGTCAGAATTCTAAGCGATTCTAAATTTGGCTCGAATACACAAGTTATTTATAATTGGATTTCAATCCGGAAGTGCAGCATTGTAATTTGATGGTCCTAAATTTTAAGGACGAGTCAGCCTCTTATACCTCAAACAAAACTAGTGAAATAATTTCAACTGGGCGTGGCCCCGTGATTTTTTCCCTTTCCAGGATTTTCCACGTTAAAATCCTGGTCTTTCTATTTCTTACATGTTTGTGTGTTGGATATCTGTATAACGTTAAGACGAAAATTTTCTAACTCTATCGCCGCGTATACTCTAGCCCGCAACAAAGAAATTAAAATTATAGTTAAAATAGTAATAAAATTGTTAATAACATAAATACCTTCCTATACCTAAACTTGAAGAATCATAAAAATCTCAAATATTTTATTAAAATTTGTAAATTTAAACATGTGCACGTGTAAGTTTTACTTTAATATCTTTACAAAAATATGTAGTTGAGTTCAATAAAACTCTCGCTATTTAAGAAGTTGATAATAAATGTTGTGATAACAAATACAAATTAAATTTTCAACAAAAATTGTGTTCTACTAATGAATTCAAGTCATATGAAAGAAGAATCATAAAAAACATGACAATTAAGACATCTAGAGTAAAATAAAATCAAATATATAACAACTCAAACAATACAGTAATAAAATTGCTAATCAATCAACCATTAAAAAAATAAAAGAAAAGAATCAATACCAAACAGCAAGCCACTTGGCATGAACAAAGAAATTAATTATACTATTACGCTTCAAGTCTCCAACTTGACCAAGGATACCTTAAAAGGATTAAGAAAATTTTCACGTCGACAAAGATAAAACTTTATTAAAGAAAGAAATATTTTTATATGCCCCAAAACAAATTTATATATAGACAGATGTGCTAAGATAACTAAGTAGGAAGATATTCAGCCGTAGAATTCAATCGCCAAAAATATTGCAATAATAATAAAATCACAGACCAAATAGGATAAGAACAACCTTGCTAAAGCCCCGTAGATAATGAAGCTGCAAATATGCCATGTACTGTTGATTCATAGGTATCATTTTCTCGATAAAATAGGAAAATCTTGATAAAGATAAGCTACATGAAATCCACATAATTGGGTCTAAAGTTGAAGTTTGTGGTTAAAATAAAGGATTGTCCGAAATGTACTGTCTTGGAAAATTAGAAGGGCACAAAATATGGATCCAAGAGTTAGGCCATAAAAGAAATACTAACAGCAAAGCCTTCAATGGAAACAATAAGAATATTAAATGAATATATTGTAAAACTATGAAAAAAAAATAGCAAGATATGATTCAATTAATGGATAGTGGGTTAGGGGTGTCAAAAATATGACAACCTGACAATACTACCTAGTCCCCACCCAAAAAATCTCAGTTCAGATTAACTCATTTAATAAATGGGTCGACCTGAAATAAAAAATTCCAACCCATTTAATTGATAGGTTCGATTCAGATTAGCATGTGAATAGGCTCTTCTTAATTTTTAATCAATTAATCTAAACTATATACGCAATAAGTTACACATTTTTTATAAATCAAAACGAATTATTGAGCCAAGTTCTGATCATTTAGGTTGCCAACAGGTCAAGTCTGGTCCACCTTTCTAACCCATTTATTAACAGATCAGATTCGAGCCAACTGAATTTAGATTGAGTCAAATTGAAACCGAGCTCAACAAGTTAACCTAGTTTGACACCCCTATAGTTAAGCATGACCACCTACTAAAGATGAAAAAATAAAAAAACTTGATGAGTTGAACATATATAACAACAATAAAGACAAAAAAAGCACAAATAAAATGAGTAGATAGAGTTAATCTAGTAGAGAAGAAAAGTAAAAGAGTAAACAAGAGGTACCATGAATGATAGTAATGCAAAAAGACTTATAAAAAAGATAAACACTACACAAAAGCATTCATCATGAATAAATGGTTTGTGAAACATTCAAAAAGCTTAGTCATAAAGCTTTCTTCAATGTCATGATCCTTTGATGTCATGAAAGATTCTGCGGGCTGCTCTCAATTCTAAAAATTAACCCAACAAGATAGATTACATTCATGCCCTCATTTATTTGTAGGACAGATGCAATAATCATATAGCATTTTCAAATTAAATACCATGATTTTATGCAAGTAATGATCACTTTGACACAAAACACCAATTAGTGATAGACTATGCTGCATTGTCTTGAGCCTTGAAAAAAAATATATCAAAGGTTCGAAGGGCTTAAACCATATGTTCAAAGAAAACAATTATCATAGAAGAAAATGATCTCCCTCTATTCTCTTAATAAGATGTCAAACATTTAAGATTTAATTATGGAATGAGAAACAATGTCTTTAAGTGTATTTATTTAGTATAAGTTGCCCAAAAAATACAAATAATAATAATGATAGCACTACTGACACTGCACATCTAGCATGAATCCACTAGCGCACAACTAAAAAAAATCTTGGTAAGCAGCATTCAACTAGAAGCACTCACAAAACTAGGTACTCCTATTCATGAAGATACTGGTCATACATTTCAATCCACAGGCAATATTAGTTGCCATAAGTAATGCAAGTTGCAAGTTGAATTGGAACATAAAAAATCTTCAGCAACAATTTGAAAAAGAAAACAGAAAAGAGTGTGCATAACATACAGTAGTACCCAAAAGCTAGAAGATCTAGGTCTACCCAGCCACTTTTACCTTGGATTATAATTAATTTGAAACATCTTTTTCGTCAAGACAGCATTTGCCAGTGATGCTAGTGCTCCAACTCCAACATTCAAGTTATGAATTCCCGAAATGTTGCCTTTCAGTTGAGAGGCTCTCCGAATGCCCAATCTAAGCTCCCCATTACCCCCACTACACAAACCAAAAGACTTTGGCATCAAAAAATCTTCATAAAATAGGAATTAACTGTTTCATAATTTTCAATGTACCGAAGAAAAAGAACAGCATCCCCAGAGACAAGTTTCTTCTTGTTGACAAAAGCACTCCAACCTGTTGTGAGCAAGTGCCGACGTGGTTGGCCTGGTTATAAACAACACAACGCGTTTTCATCACTTCATAATTTCTTTTAAAATTGGTGCGAAATATGCATAGATCCGTAAAATATCAGCATAATTCAGAATGAATTTGAAATCTAAAAGAGAACGGTTAGAAAAAAGAAAAATATTTATATGATGCAAATGGATACAGAAAAGCTGCCAGCATTGGGAACTAAAAAATAAGCCCCTCTCAGAATCTATTAATACATTCTTATATTTCACGCTCTCGCATATACCTAACCAGATGTACTTCACCGGAAAGTGTGTTCAACTTATCAAAAAACACTAGCTCAATGAATACTATGTAGAAGTTTATAATCGAGCAGTATGTTTTTACCACAAAATTATGACAGTGTAGGATCAATCCACAAATGTGCTAATTAAATTTTAACAGAAAGTGGTAGTCCGAATTTCTGCTCCTTAGCATACCCCTGTAAATGTGCCGAAAGCGCCACTCTAGGCCGTGCAAATCTTTAGCAATAAGCTCTTGGGACGGCCTCTGTTGTCTGTAATCCTAAAAGATAGCATTTTCCCAAATATTAGGCATGTTACGGTATCAGCAGATTACGAACATATAGTTCATATCAGAAGGGACCGTCCAAGTGCCAGTACCCATCTCTTCTCTAAGAAATTCAGAAAAAAAAAATTAGATACTGAAACATCCAATTTACCAGCGGAGGAAAGCAGTCCTCAGCTGCTCGGCGTGGTACAGAAAAGCCTCCATGTGTGCTTGTGTCAGATGCTGTAAGAGTCTTACAGAACATGTGCGGAATTGGAGATTGGTCTCCAGCATCCATCTCATCCACTTCTTCCCCTTCTCCCTCAGCAACTCCGTGAATCTGTCCGTCAAACCCCTGCAAGGCAATCCCTTTCCGCATCAACAAACTTAAGAGCTAATCATCTAAAAGATAAAAATCTCAGACCAGAAAGAACGAAATACATTTTAGAAATATGAGCTCCAGAAATTTGGTTAGTTTAAATTTGCAGGAAGGACAACAATAACCTTCCATTTCTGAAGAACTCTGAGGACCACAAGGCAGAAAATAAATCAAACTATAGTAATTTCACATAGCAAAACTCTTTGCCAACCAAATCAAGAAACAACCGCTGATTAGACCAAACAACTGCTAAATCTACACTGTCAGCCAGTAAAGATGTGAGAAAAGAGAAGATTCATAACGGAATGTAAGAAAACCAACCTCACTTTCCGCAATCACAGAGAGCTGCGCGTAAACCTCATCTGTCGCTGCCTCTGCCTGCAAACAACCAACGAAAGCTTCTTTACGCCGTCTAAACCTAAAAACCGAAGCGTCAGAAAAGTTTGAAAATCACGTACTCGAAGCTGGACCTCTACGACCCGGCAGAACACGTGAGGAGGCACATCGTGACGCAACAGCATCCCTCCTCCGCCAGCGTGCTGCCCGCCGGCGAGATGCTCGAGGTGCCCCTGCGGCAGGTAAACCACCAAGCTCCCCTTCTTTGGAAGAGAAATCCTCGGCCCAGCGCAGGCATGCCACAGCTCAAGGCACACCGAACCCACACCGCCAGCTTGCGGTGACGGGGTAAGCGGCCGGAGCTCCGACGGATCATCCTCTTCCTCCTCCTCGATCGTGTTCAGATCGATCCCCATCGCCCGCAGCAACTCGCAAAGAAGTTAACCCTAAAAGTGTCACCACGTAATGGACCCACGAGCAATTAGCCCAGCCGAAGAAACAAAACCATTGCCGCGGCCATGAGAAAAGGCGCAAAGGCTCGGCTTTATCTACCGTTTAAATTAGGTACCAAACCCGCAAGGCAGAAGCCGGGGAAAAGGTGGTGTGTATCTCTTAATCGGTATACCACTTTATCCCTCGGTAAAATTAAATTTTTACGACAGATAAGAAGATGAAGGGGGTAGAAAGCTACGAAAGCTACGAAAGCGAAAAAAGGGTTATCCTTTTTCTAGAGCTCTTCCGGGGGCGCTCCGCTTATAACATCAGCTTTGCCAAAAGCGGAGGAGTCAAAAGCGACGGGCTAACCATGCCATCTCCGTACCGCCTGCACCACTATGTTTCTCTCCCCAACCTCTCTTCCCCCCTTGAATCCAGCTGCTACATCTGTCATCTGGCATCTAATCTCTCTCTTCTGCTCTCCATTATTTATTTAAGCTAGAAAGGGGAGGGGGATTAGCATGCGAGCAGTCGGATAGATAAAAATGGGGAAAGCGGAAAGAGAGAGAGAAAGAGAAAGGAGGCCTTTTTTTCTCCTTTTTAGGGGGAGGAGCAAGGAAGCAGTGGGTCCATTGTTGCAGAGCTGAAGCAGAGCAGTAGATGCTGGCGCTGTTGCGATGGCAGAGGAGGCAGATAGACCAGTGGGGTGTTTGAAGGGAAGGAGTGGTGAGCGGTGACTTGGGCGTTCTTTATTGCTTTTTTTTCGTTTGTTTTCTTTTTCTGGTCGCTGTTTATTTATTGTAGTATCAGCTGACAAGACGTGAAGCCGTTCTGCTTTTCCGGGTGCTGTGTCTCATTATGGCCCGCCCTCTTACTCTCTCCCTTGCCATTTCCATTATACAGCTCTCTCTTCTTTTTTTTAATTCACAGGTATTTCTTTTAATTAACAGGTAGTTTTGTCCGAGAGCATGGATCAAACGCAATGCGACGCGTATTGCAGAGTGTGATGTTTTTTTAAAATTTTAGAGTGTAAATTACAATAAATTATTCTGTGTAGTGTTGCGTTTAGACTGTAAATGTCCATAATATTTATATATTATATATTTTTATTTTTATATATATATAATATACAAACAATATGTATACACTTTTTTTTTTTTTTGGAAAATATATGTATACACTTAGATATGCAATTTTGCATTTAGACTTTGCAAAGAATAATTTATCTTAAATTATTGGCTCTCTCGGTAGTATTTTTTTTAGCTTCTTATTTGATGGATGCCTCCAATAATTTTCTTTGTAACTCTCAAATCATGAGTGGAATGATTGATTTTTTATTTTTTACAAAACAATTTAATTTGTTTAATATAATATCATCATATCATTATTAATATCGGATAATAATTTTTGAAATTTAGAAGATATGTCATCTCGTTTTTTTTTTTATTCACTTTCTACACTAAAATTAAGTTCTTGAAAAAGAAAACTTTTTTTTGTTGATCTTAGAGAGGGATTGACATCCTACATCATAAAGGAAAATATGAAGAGATGATTTGGTGATGAGTGGCCTTTTGGTGAGTTAGCACCCAGATTTTACAATAGATATTTAGTTTAAAGTGTGAGGATGCGTTCTTAAGTTTGTGATGTGATGATGAGAAGTCAAAAGAGGTATTGTGAGAAAAATATTAAGACTAGTGCAACAAGGATTAGTTTGGGTTGATTTCAAATATCATTCTTAGAAAAAAAAAAAGATTAGATGGTCTATGTTTGTTCCAGTTATGTCCATAGGTGACACATGATCTTACTAGTAGATATTTTAAGAGGGTTGGGACTTGCTAACATGTAGTTAGTATGAAAAACTAGGCAGAAGATTTAGGGGAACTATAACACTAGCTCAATTATCGCTTTAGAAAGTGCCAAAAAATTCTATTTTTTTCCTATTCACCATTTATTTTTAGAGATGTGATGGTTATAGAGAAAGCTACATCAAAATAGAAAAAATAATATAATAGTAAATGACCCCTAGTACGGATTGTCATAGACATATGTCATACTTTGATATGCCCTATAAATGATTGCTTGTTTTAATTCTGACTCTTTAATCTTGGGTCGAGTCCCCTTATTCAGAGTACCCACAAGAGAGTGGATGTAGACAAATTCGCTAATGAGGGTCGAACAAAGAAGGATGTTTCTGATAAGCCCTTGGGGGGGGAGGTGTTTGCGGCCTTTCAATGGAAACACTGTACTACTTCGATATGGGAGAGGAGTCTATTTAAGTCACAGGTAATAGACTCCATGGACCGTTGAATGCGGTGAGACGAGTTTGAATACTTTGAGGAACGCTCTTCTCTATTACTTAAATGATTAGTTTTTATTAATGATACTCTGCTCGAGGGAGTGATCAGTGGCTTTTAGGGTGTGCATCTTGTTGAGGGGTGAGTCCTCTATGTGAATGGTCTGTGTGAATCTTTTTCCTTCCCTAGGGAGGAAAGTCTTTTATGGCTAATTCACTAAGTTGGGGTTGATAACTTGATATGTCATTTACCCACACTACTTTGTCCTTTTTAATTATAATTTGCTCAATTATATAGTGTAACTCCTATTTTGTGCAAGTATATGTGTCAAGTTAAATAACAAAGTGATGACAGAAGTAAAAATTTCTAAAATCCACTTTTGTACTGCTTAGTAAAACTATTCTATTTATCTAGTCAATTGATTCAAAGAAGGTTAAGCATTTAAAAAGTAAAATCCGTAGTTGCAAAAGATAAATTTACTAATTTTTAAAATCTCAGAACTTATGATATTTAAAAACACATGCTTGTGAAAGAGTAGTTTAGTCCTAATCATACTATAAATCTGAGCATAAGTACTCCTCATCTCTATTGAGCTCATTCCAGTAGTAGTTAGAACTCATCCCAACTATAGTTTTTTTTATCTTCTTAAGACCCCATAACACTAATCATTATATGTCTATGCATGGCAAAATTACATTTTAAAACCTCTATTTTTTCTTCAACTATGTTGCACTTCAGGATCCCAACCTTATATATTTGATGATTATAAACATTATTGGACATTTATTTTATTTTTTCTTGTTTTATACATTACATATATTTTTATGTGCGCTACTAACATTTTAGACTCAGTATACACAAAACACCATCAAAGAATCATAGCTCAAGAAACTATTGTGTTGGTTAGATACTTTTTTAAAGAGTTTGTATTATTTTTCTTGAATTTATTTTTATAATAGGCCATGTATGTTGGCTTAGCAACCGTGCACATGCATAAGGGGGAGTGTAATTAAATATTTTAATATTTGTTAAAAATTATTTAAAATATTTAATTAAATAAGATTATTTGTAATAATTATAACTAATTGTAATATATTACCATAACATCTTACAGGATGATTATATATATTTAGTACTCCAACAATCATATAAATTAGGTAATAATTCAAAATTTGAAAGTTGATATAATTGTATTATATGAAATTTAAATATTGCGCCAAATTAAATCCCTATAATTAAGCAATCAAATTAGGATTAATTAAAATTAATGATCATATGTTATGATCTTGAATGTATAGTATATGAAAGTCCGTTTAGGTTGTTATACCTAACGCAATTTTCTCAAGGCTAACTAAGAAGGGTGGGTGAATTGGTAATTTAAAAATTCCTCTTGAATAAAAACTATTTTTTAAAAATACTTTGAACTATTAAAGTTTTTATCAAAATAAAACTTTTCAACCACTTAAAGAAAAACGTACAAAAAAATAAAATTATGAACAAAATAAAGAACATAGAAATTTATAGTGGTTTAATCCAACTAGACCTACGTCCACTCCCTGAAGACTCTCTCTTCAAGTATTACACTATTATCAAACTGACTCTCCTTTTGCTCTCATAGTAAGTCGGAGAAGCCTTTATAATTACCCTCTCTTCCACCAATTCCCAGTGCGGCAGAGTGTCTTCATCCTTTCACACCCTCCAAGTGTCCGCAAAGTAACGTCATCCTTTCACGCTCTCCAAGTGTCAGCAGAGAATCATCTTCCTTTCACACCCTCCTGGTGTAGATAAAGTGTCAGCATCCTTTCACACCCTCATGATGTCGGTAGAGTATCAACGTTCTTTCACACTCTTTTAGTGTCGGAAGAGAACCGGGTCTTCTTCAAAGATCTTCCCTCGAGCATCTTCAAAGAAGTACGGAAGAGATTTTCTATAAATACAAAGAGATTCTCACCTTTGAGTTATCATGTGAACCCTTCACACTCTTAGTTTGTAAGAAAACTCTCTCAAAAAGTCTCCCAAATCAATCTCACACATTTGCTCTCTAGAAAAATGAAGAAGGATTCATCCAAAATCACTTTATAGGGACTTATATATGAAAGACACTAAAAATCATCCAGAAAACTAAAAATTTTCATTTTGAATGTCCACGATCATAAAGTACAATCAACTATCGTATGTACGAATAGTTCAAAGTTTTGCTCGTACGATTCTATGTGAAACATTTTCATACATGCACATCATACAATACGAACCATATAATGTCCAGTAAGATTTCAACCTTTTTTTTTCTATTAGTATGGAAAAAAATATATGCATTAATTTCATACTCTGGACGTCGTCTGTACGAACTCAAGATAATCTCAGACGAATAGTTCAAAAATTTTGCTTGTTCGTATGGATAAAAATGTAAGCATCAAATGCGTACTCTGGATGTCGTATGTATGAACTCAAGATTGTCCCGGATGAATAGTTCAAAAAAGGTTCTAGTTCGTATGGACAAATATGTAAGCATCAATTTTGTACTCTAGACGTCGTATATATGAAGCCAACCTTTTATATTATGAATAGTGCTTAGAAAATTTTCCTCACATGGTTTGATTAACTACTTGCTAAAGGAACTACCTGGATAAATCATCCCGTACGATCCAAAATCGTACACTACGATTAGTTTAAAAAATTATAAGTTTTAACACTCTCCCTGTGTGTGTGCATGGTTACCGAATTATAATCACACTCTCAAACTCAAGAAAAACATAAAAAGTATAGACTCAATTTACATTAAACCCTAATCTAATCTATCTTGCAATCTTCAACAGTCTGGAGTATGATTTCTCTAAAGTGTTAGTACACACAAACAAAAAAAGCAATATGGCCAATATGTATTAGGAGAAACAGTAATCAAATAATAATATTTGAAATCATAAAAAACACAAATAATATGAAAATATAGTTATGAAAAACTAAGTTGCAACAATATGATCTCTATTATACTAGATGATTAACAAAGTGAGCTTCTAGATGATAATTAATCATCTTAGGGTTTATCATGTATGAAATACTATTTAATTAAACTAATCATATCCGATGATATTGGTTAGTATAAGAGAGAATGAACTAATTGTACTGTATGATTTAAGTATTATATTCTATGATTAGAAGCAGTAGAATTGAAACTTATATTTTTTTAAACCCTGTGTATAAACTCTTGCTATAACTTTAACAAGTGTCTTTTGGGTATGCAAGGGTTTTTATTTCTTTTATTAGAGAGATTGGAGAGAGAGCATTAGAAAGAAAGAGATTGGGTGATGTTGTGTAAGAAGGAGAAGATCCTTAAGGGGTTTAAAGGGAGTGTGAGAGGGGTTTTCATATGATTGCTCTGACAGACCTAAGGTCCCCTGATTGTGTTGATGTGTCTCTTAAGAGGTGCTTTATGAAAAAAAGACTTTGAGGCCAAAGATCCTTGGTGACTTTATTATACTGAGG